ATATTTAGTTAACAAGCTGAATATTTAACTTGTGACATAAATATTTAAGTTTAAAGCTAAATATTTAGCTTTAAACTTAAATATTTATGTCACAAGTTAAATATTCAGCTTGTTAACTAAATATTTAATTTGTTAGTTAAATATTTAGTTTATAAACTATGACATTTATAAATGTATGAATCATATGGTGAAAAACTGACGTTGAAAAATAAATCTGCTCTTTTTTTCTTATAAAAGCCTAAATAAAACAAAAATGTTGGTGGTAATTTTTGACTGTGTAACTTTAAGAACGGCACCTCATATCAATCGCCACACCTTCCACCAGTGACTGACCGACTGACTGAGCGGATCACCGCCCCGACTGTTTGGATCAGTTCAGTCAAGTTTAACATGATTTATGTACATTTTGTGTTCAAAAGTCGTGTTAAATGAGGCGTCATTAACACCTTCAGCCTCCTTTAACAGGGCAGAGTCACTAACAGCATTTTGGTTTTGGGGTGTGATTTGATCTCATCTGGATGTTAAATAGCATCACACCTGGACATCATAATTAAGACATTTATTTGATTATTTATCAGATATGAACCCCTCACTCTCATCTGAAGCATGGACACTGAAAGACATATCCTCATTTTCACAGTTTTTCTACCCATGTTTTTTCCCCATCGTAGTTTTGAAGCTCTGGTCTGCACCTTCTGATTAGTGTGTGTTTCTGTGTGCAGTTGTTTAGTCAATGAGGCATTACCGGGCTTGTCGCTTTATTTCTGTGGGATTTTTATTCTCACTGCAACTTGCTTGGCTTCACAACACTTTTATTTCTTATTTGACAAATAAAGCTGCTTTTTTTTCCTTTGCTACTTTTAAATTCTATTTGAACTCTTCAGTTTATTTGCCATTTTATCTATTATGTRTGAAACTTCCTCTTTTTACCTTATGTTTGTTTTGTGTTTACAAAATTATTTCTCTTTTTCTTTTTCCTGTCTCACCTTCCTTTCCTTCCACTGTCTTTTCTTCTTCAGATCCGCTATAGAAAGGACAAAGTGCAGTCCAAGCTGACTCCTACTTTCCCCTTGGTTTCTGCAGTCAAAGATCTGTCTAATGGCTGTGCAATAGCTGCTGTTCTGCACTACTACTGCCCTGACTTACTGCCTCTTGAGGGTA